GTAAGCTCTTTGGCACAGTGCTGAAAGTTCTAGCTAGTACAGCAAGGTAGGAAAGTAAAAGGCATATAGATGAGGGGGAAAAAAAAATCTAAATGATGTAATTGTAATTGTCTACCTGGAAAACCCCAGGGAATATAGAAAACTCCTGGAATTAGAAATTGGATCAGCAGGGTTACGAGATATATGGTCAACATACAAAAATCAGTTATATTTGTTTATTAGCAGTGAACACATAAGAACCAAAATTAAAATGCAGTGCCATGTTCAGTTACTCAAAAATATGAAAAACTTGGGTGTAAACCTCACAAAACATCTATAGGACTTGTATGCTCAAAAGTATGAAACAGTGATGAAAGAAAGCAAAGATCTAGAGAAATGAAGAGACAGCATATTCATGCAAGAGTCTACAGACATAATTTACCCTCAAATCAAAGTGCAAGTTTAACATAATTGCTAAATAAGATTAAGTTAAAATTTGATATGGAAAGGCCAAGGAAGTAGAATAGCTGAAAATAATTTTTAAAAGAAGAAAAATGTGGGAGCAGTTGGTATCCAATTTCAAGATGTTATATAATTATGGTAGTTGATACTGTGTGGTATTGGTGTGGTGTTGGTGAAGGGATAAATTCATAAGTTGATGGAACAGAATTGGGAACCCAGAAATAGCCCCACACAAGTATGGCCAGCTGTTATTTGACGAACATGTAAAAGCAACTTAATAGAGAAAAGATAGTCTTCTCAGGAAATGATGCTAGAGCAGCTAGATATCCACAACCAAAAACATGAACCTTGGCTTAAACCTTGCATTGGATACTAAAATTAACTCAAAATGGATTCTAGCTTTAAATGTAAAACTTTTAGATGCTAACACACAAGAGGTCTTTGGGACCTAAGTCTTGGTAAAGAAAAAAAACAACGGACTTAATTAATATGAAAAATGTTTCCCGTCACAAAAGATCCTGTTAAGAGGATGAAACAAGCTTATAGGAGGAAAAATTGCCAGCCTCTTATTTCACAAAGTATTCATGTCTAGAATACATGAAGAACTCTCAAAGCTCAATAGTAAAATCTACAGAGTCCGTTTTTAGAAAGTGAACTAAAAGAAATGAGCAACAGCTCACCCAAGAGGGACTATAGATGTAAATAAAATATGCAGAATGTTCAACATCACATGCCATTAGGGAAATTGCAAAGACCGTGATGAGATACACTGCACTCTTATTGGTTTGGTTTAGTTGCTAAGTTGTGTCCAACTCTTTACGACCCCATGGACTGTAGACTGCCAGGCTCCTCTGTCCATGGGATTCTCCAGGTGAGAACACTGGAGTGGGTTGCAATGCTCTCCTCCAGGGGATCTTCCCGATCCAGGGATCGAACCCAGGTCTCCTGCGTTGCAGGCAGATTCTTTACTAACAGAACTATGTGGGAAAAACTCTTACTAGAATTTTTAAAATAAAAGCTAGTGGCAATACCAAATTCTGGGAAGGATGCAGAGAAAGTGGGTCTTTTATACATTGCTAATGGGAACATAAAATGGTTTAGCCATTCTGGAACATATTTTGGCAGTTCCTTGAAAAACTAAACATGTACTTACCATACCACCCAACAGTTGCACTCCTGGGCATTTATTTCAGAGAAATGAAAATGTAAATCCACGTTAAAACCTGTACATGATTGTTCAGAGCATCATTATTATAGCATCATTATATAGCATCATTATATAGCCCCAAACAGGAGCAACCGAAGTGTCCCTCAGTAGACAGATGATTAGAAAACCAGTTAAGAGGACTTCCCTGATGGTCTGTTTGTTAAGAACCCGCCTTGCGACGTAGGAGAGGTCCACGGAGCAGGTAAGCCTGCATACCGCAACTGGAGAGTCCGTGTGCCGCCTGAAGCAAAAGATCCCACAGGACATGACGGTCCCGTGTCCCACAGCTGAGACCCAGTGCAGCCAAGCACATAACCCGTGTTGTAGAGTAGTACTCAGTGGTAACAAGAAATGAACTGGTGATACATGCACCAACCTGGATGGATTTTAAAGAGTTACGTTGAGTGAAGAAAGCCAGTCTCAAAAGTCACATATGGTATAAGTCTGTTTATATAACATTCTCAAAATCACAGATTAGTGGTTGCCAAGGGTAGGGATAGTAGATGGAAGTGAAGTAAAGTGTGATTATAAAAGGATAACATGAAGGAAATCTTTGTAGTGATAATTCTGTATCTTGATTGAAGTGGTGTTTTCATGAATCTATACTTGTGAATTAAAAGACACTTGCTCCTTGGAGGAAAAGCTGTGACAAACCTAGACAGTATGTTAAAAAGCAGAGGCGTTACTTTGCTGACAAAGGTCCGTATGGTCAAAGCTATGGTTTTTCTAGTAGTCATGTATGGATATGAGAGTTGGACCATAAAGAAGGCTGAGTGCCAAAGAATTGATGCTTTTGGACTATGGTGTTGGAGAAGACTCTTGAGAGTCCCTTGGACTGCAAGGAGATCAAACCAGTCAATCCTAAAGGAAATCAATCTCAAATATTCATTGGAAGGACTGATGCTGAAGCTGAAGCTCCAATACTTTCGCCAGCTGATGTGAAGAGCTGACTCAATAGGGGAAAAAACCCTGATGCTGGGAAAGACTGAAGGCAGGAGGAGAAGGTGACGACAGAGGACGAGATGGTTAAATGGCATCACCGACTCAATGGACATGAGTTTGCGCAAACTTCAGGAGACAATGGACAGGGAAGCCTGGCGTGCTGCAGTCCATGGGATCACAAAGAGTCAGACATGACTGAGTGACTGAACAGCAATACTTGTGATAAAATGGCATAGAACTGTATGCACTCACTGTATCAATGTAATTGTCCTGGTTTTGATTTTGTACTACAGTTATTAATATGTACTATGTAATGGTTGGAGGAAACTGGGTAAAGAGTACACAGAACTTTTATGAACTATCTTTGCAATTTCAAAATAAAAAACAACTTCAGACCACAATCTACATGCAGCATAAGTTCAAACAAGTGATAGTAAAATGTTTCCCATTTGGAAATCTTAAAAAGATGCTCACATTAATATTTAACACTGTTTGTACATCTAGGGAAAAAGGATAACTGTATTTTGTGTTTAACACAATTACCGTGGTACAAAAGTCAGTTCAGTTGAGTCACTCAATTGTGTCCGACTCTTTGCAACCCCATGGACTGCAGCATGCCCGGCCTCCCTGTCCATCACCAGCTCCCGGAGTTTACTCAAAGTCATGTCCATTGAGTCGGTGATGCCATCCAACCATCTCATCCTCTGTTGTCCCCTTCTCCTCCCACCTTCAATCTTTCCCAGCATCAGGATCTTTTCCAAGTAGCCAAAGTATTGGAGTTTCAACTTCAGCATCAATCCTTCCAATGAATATTCAGTACTGATTTCCTTTAGGATGGACTGGTTGGATCTCCTTGCAGTCCAAAGGACTCTCGAGAGTCTTCTCCAACACCACAGTTCCAAAGCATCAATTCTTCAGCACTCAGCTTTCTTTATAGTCCAGCTCTCACAAAGGTAGCTCTAATAAATTGTTCTTTTTTTTTTTTTAAGGCTCCTCTGTCCAGTATCAGTTATCTTTATTCTTTACTAACAAGCCCACAAATATTCCAGGTTTATCCAAAGGAACCTAAGGAAGTAAAGAACTCATGACTGAACATTATACTACTTGGGTCAAGCTTTTCCCATTGTTGTTTTCCTTGTATTCCTTATGTTTCATCTCCTCATCAGGAATTTTGTATTCCAATTGTGTAAACACGGAATATGTATACATTTGTATATAAATTCTAATAAGTTATGTGGCCATTGTAATAGGTATACATGGTAGGTGCAGGTTTGTAAAGCCGCATAACTACATAGGTTGAACTTTTAAATAACATCATTTTGGATAACACCATTCTGATTTTAGTTTAAAGTTTAGATTGGGTATCCCCAGGCTGTCTGTCCAGAAAGCTTTCACTGATAATTTAAAGTAACAGTGTTTCTATTATTTGGAAAGCACTTGTGACACCCTGTTGTTAGAACTTTACATTCATTATTTCATTGAATTTCTTCACAGCACCTCTGAAATTGCACTAGCATGCCTCTCTCTTTCATAGTTGCAGAAACTGGGCTGAGAGGGTTAGGTAACTTGAGCGAGGTCGCCAGTTGTATGGCTGCAATTTGAGCCTGGGAACTGACTCCAGTGCCCAAGTTATTAACAACTGTGTTCCACTGTGGGTATGAGGGCTCACATGTTTACTTGATTCACACTTCTGCCTCCAGTGGCAACCTAATTGCTCAAGAACCCAGTTCCCTTTCTTAGCTCGTACAGGCCTCTTTCAGTACCAGATTTCACGAGAAACTATAGCTTTATTTCTGAGAATGGTGGTACTATTCAGCATTCTCTGGTTCTTTATATTTAGATCTACATTTAAGTAGTCTGATCATTCTTAGAAAACAGACATAAAATTACATAGGGTATATACATTGTTCCAGCCAGCTGGAAAAATTTTTGTTGTTAAACTGATCTTATTTTAAATGCCTTCAAAAATCAGTCTATCTGGAAACAATAGTTGCAAAGAAAAAGCCAAGGTTTGTTTTAGAGTAAATCCTTTGACTTAACTCCTCTCTGAATTATGTCATAGTAATAAATGATGACTGGTAGCAAGCACAGATGCTTATTCTTTATAGGCATAAATAAATCCAGTCTTGGTCATTATCGATTGTGCAGCTGGGCAAACTCCTAAAGATCACATTGCAAGATACACTGTTGAAAATGTTAGATACCTGCCTTTTAGACTTAGATGCAGAGTTTTCAGTTCCTCTGACAACAATTAAACAGCTTATATCTTTTATTGTAAACATATTTTTTTCAAAGATATTAGCAGGCTTTTGACTTTTGTAAAGTTTGGTATCTGTATTTCGTATGTAACATAATATGTGCTGTAAAGTGCTTTTGTAAATTGATCCAATTCCTTATCTTCTCTTTACAGGAATATATTAAAGGAGTCTGTGAACCTGAACTAGAAGAAAGAGAATGTTACCCCAAGGCCATGCACTGCATTTTTGTTGGGGCACAGAGCCTATTTCTAAAGAGCTTGATTCAGGACACCTGTGCCGATCTCTGCATTCTTGACATTGGTCTTCTTGGCATCAGAGGAAGTGCCGAAGCTGTGGTCATGGCTCGGAGTCACATTCAACAGTTTGTAAAGCTCTTTGAGAATAATGAGAATCTACCCAACAGCCAGAAAGAATCAGAGGTAAAAAGGGAATTTAAACAATTTGTAGAAGCTCGTGCAGACAGTTACACAATGGATTTGTTAATTTTACCCACTTCCTTGAAAAAAGAACTCTTGGCACTCACCCAGGGTGAGGAGAATCTGTTTGAAACAGGAGATGATGATGTTATTGAAATTCGAGATTCTACACAAGCAGAGTTTACACCGAATGCTGCCACAGGGCTGACTATTTCCAGAGATGAAATTGTTTTGCAGGAAGATGCAAGAAATAAAGCGGGGACACCCGTTTCTGAGCTTACAAAACAGATGGACACAGTCTTTTCTAGTTCACAAGATGTACTTTTTGTTCCAATAAATGGTGTAACCCCAGATGAAGAGGCACTTTCCAAAGACAGAGTTTGTCACAAGAGGAGGTTTTCTGATTCTGAAGAAAGGCATACCAAGAAACAGTTTTCTTTGGAAAATGTTCAAGAGGGAGAGCTTCTACATGATGGTAAGACATTAGCTGGAAGTGTAATCATTGATGTCTCTGATTCTTCTACCGAGGCCGGAAATTTAAGTCCAGACGTAAAAGACACTACTGAGGAGATGGAGTACAACATTCTCGTGAACTTTTTTAAAACCATGGGCTATTCCCAAGAAATTGTTGAAAAGGTCATTAGGGAGTATGGGCCGTCTACTGAACCATTATTACTCTTGGAGGAAATTGAAAAGGAAAATAAGAGATTCCAAGGAGACAGAGAATTTTCGCCTGGTACTGTGTATCCAGAGACTACCAGAACCAAAAATAAAGGTGTTTGTAGCAGCATAAATGAGCTTACAGCAGATTCCACTCCAAAGAAAACACAAACTCACACACAGCAAAATATGGTGGAAGATTTTTCTCAGTTACCATTCAGAGTTGAATCAAAACCATGTACCTCAAATTGCAAAATTAATACTTTCAGAACCATGCCAATAGAACAGAAACAAGAAATCTGGAGTTCAAATCAGAGCTACATTTGTAACATAGACCTTGAAACCGATGGCCTTTTACCCTCTGTTGTCCCTTCAAGTCCCAAAGAAGCTGTCAGTTTTGTTTCAAGAGGAGCTTCAAGTCACCAGCCCAGAATTCCGGCTTTTCCTGAAAATGGTTTGCAGCCGCAAGCAGAACCTTTGCTTCCAAATAGTATGAAGTCTCCCTGTGAAAACCGCTCGAGGTGTTGTGGCTCTCCTCAGTCTAAGCCCGGCTGTCCACCCCTTTCTCCACCGATGCCGCTCTCCCAGCTGTTACCTTCAGTTACTGATGCTAGGTTGGTGGGACCTTCTGAGCATGTTGATTGCTCAGTTACGGGGGTTCAAAGATTTCGAGATACTCTGAAAGTGCCCTACAAGCTGGAATTAAAAAATGAACCAGGGAGGACGGATTTGAAGCACATTGTTATAGATGGAAGCAATGTTGCGATTACGTAAGTCCACTCTCTTCAAATTATAGCTTTCAGTAGGGCTCTTAGCCATGTTTCAGAATTTCAGTGTTTATAGGAACTATCCTGTGTGTAGTTGACCCCATTCTCTGGCACTGTAGACTCTTTCTTCACTCTGCTAAACCTATATTTCTGAGGACAAGGAATGATAGAAAACTTGGCTTTTCACATTGCATTTCCCAGTGATAAGCAGTATAGAGACTTAAATCCTCAGGTTCTTAATGCTGTCTTAACACCACTGGGTTCTGAATACAAGGATGAAGCTTAAGACAAAAATGAGATTTCTTTTTCTTTTTCTGTACAACATGCCAGGTCTCTACCCAGGAATGTGCAGTGATAACAGGCGTGATGTACTTCTGTTATACTTTTGTTGGTAAGAGTGACAACAATTTCCTTTCTAAGGTATTCTTCAGTTTGAGTTTCTATATGGGCCTCTGCTCTTACTGAAAGTTTGTATAGTAAAAGAAGTTAAATGATCATTTCTATTTAGCCTGTCTTAGAACTCTAAGAGGCAGTTTGATAGAAGGAGAGTGTAGGGGTCAGAGTCAGAGTCTTCGCCCACTGGGAACCAGCTGTTTGACCTCAGATGGGTTTCAGCCTGCTTGGTTTCACTTGCTACAACCTTTTGCCCTGAGCTAAAGAACATCTTTATCATGCTATTTCAACAACTGCTAGGTAAAATCTCTGGTTTTCAAAACCAGTCACTCCACTGATTTTGAAGATATCTTTAGTTCAGTTCAGTCACTTAGTCGTGTCCGACTCTTTGCAACCCTGTGAACCACAGCACGCCAGGCCTCCCTGTCCATCACCAACTCCCAGAGCTTAGGCAAGCTCATGTCCATTGAGTCGGTGATGCCATCCAGCCATCTCATCCTCTTTCGTCCCCTTCTCCTGCCTTCAATCTCTCCTAGCATCAGGGTCTTTTCCAGTGAGTCAGCTCTTCGCATCAGATGGCCAAAGTACTGGAGTTTTAGCTTCAACATCAGTCCTTTGAGTGAATACTCAGGACGGATTTCCTTTAGGATGGACTGGTTGGCTCTCCTTGCTGTCCAAGGGACAGCATTTTAAGTAGCTGCAATTCAAGAAAAGGGGCACCTGGACGTGGAATGAAGGAGAAGTTGAGATATAGTTGGTCGTTTAATGATGTGGGGTTAGGGGCTGTCGACCCTCTGCATGGTCAGAATTAACTTTATTGTCAGCCCTCCATAAAGCTGTTCTGCATCTTATAGTACTGTAGTATTTACTGCTGAAGAAAGGTCCGTGTTTAAGTGGGCCCTGGGTTCAGACTTGTGTTGTTTAAGGGTCATATGTACTTTCCTGAATTGCTTAATGCTTATATGACCTCTTTCCTAGGAGTTCTAAAACATCAATTAATCCCCTGATTTTTCAGGAATACTTGATAAAATTGAAAAATGAATTGAAAACTATTATTAAATTATGCATTTATTACATATTATTTTTTGTTATAATTTTCAGAGAAATTCACAAGAAGATAATATGATGAATTCCATCCATGTTGGGATTCACATTCATTTGAGACTCACATGTACCCATCACCTAACTTCAGTAATTATCAACTCATGGCCTGTCTTGTTTCGTCATTTCAGACCTTGTTTCATCTGTACCCCACCTGCTGCCTTCCACCCATTTTGAAGGAATTTTCAGATAATCTTATTTCCATCTATAAATATTTTAATATTTTAGTATCTATTTTTTAAATATAAAGATTCTTTTGATTTTTATTTTTTGAATGGTGCTGTTCCTTGCTGTCAAAAAATAAGAAAATGCCAACATTTCACATGTAAAAGTGAATATAGGCAATAAAAATATGTAATATGGTTGTCTTCATTACCAAATAATGCTGTTTATTGTCATTTCACTTTGTTTTTTGGCAGTTCTTTTGGGGGAAACCCAGCAAATGGCCCACAACTGTACGGCATTATCTAAGTAAAAATGTAAAGTGCAATTTCAGTTACTCACAGTCCAAGCCCCACAGCAGTTCCTCATTGTTACAATTTCTTGAGCCTAATGATGATATAAAATTTAGGTCACGATTATGAGTAATATTAATCCTTTTTCATTTTTCTGTATGTGGAGAGATTTCCCAAATTGGTGTTCAAAGACTAAGAAATGCAAATTAAGATAAAACGAACAGTGATAATGATACTTTTAAAAAACCTTTTTGTAGTAACTGGTGTACTTCTCAGAGGAGTCACTGTTGGAATTGAGAGCTGCACTGGCTGTACTGAACAGGATGCTTTTGCATATCTGGCCCCTCCTGCTTTGCCCATAATGCCCCCAAGCCATTGTGACACCCCAAACCCTGTTTCATACTTCCTAACACCCTTCAGTACAGTACCATTTCTTTTGAAAACCACTGAATTAGTGCACTAAGGGAAACCACAGGCAGATTGAGAGGATTTTAATTTTCTTTGAATTCATAGATGTCTCAATTAAAAGCAACTCTTTTACAAAAGATGTATTATTCTAGGCAGACAGACTTATACTTAATTTGATGGAGATTGATCTGAAAATGTCAGTAATTAAAATTAACTCTTATTTTGGGAAGAAACTGCTTAATGGGTACAGGGGGTTTTTTTTTTGGAGTGATGGAAATGTTTTGGAACAAGATACAAATGGTGGTTGCACAACATTGTGAATATACTAAATTCACTTTAAAATAATTATTTTACATTGTGTCAATTTTTTTGAGTCAGAAAAATTATCATTCTAAATCAGCTGCTTCAGTTTAAATGTGAATTATAGACTGTAAATTCCATAAAGGAAGTGATTGATGTGTGTTTGACTCACTGAACTATCCTCAAGGTCCATGGTGCCTGGCACATAGTAGCCACTCGGTGACAATGTGTTGAATTAATGAATTAATTAAAGACTTAATGAAGATTAGGATTGTTTAAATGACTTTTCACCACCTATTTATAGCTTGCGGTTACAATTGCTGTAGTAAATCAATTTGGATTACATTTCAACAAATATTTGGAATCTTAAAACTGAAACACTTGTTATATGTCAGGTACTGTACTTTATCTTTTAAAATATAACCTTTATACCAGTTTTGTGAGGTAAAAATAATCTGTAACATACATAACATGAAATGGCTTGAAAATCTTGTCCAAGACTATGCAGCTACAAAATTTGGACCCATGATACAGCTCTCCAGAGCCATCATACCCCCCACCTCTTCCCACAGAAGTTGAGATTGAACTTTTAGGCCTTAGCACTATTGGGTACATCACTCCTGAGTTGCTTAGGTAGGCACTGCTGAGTAAACCTCACTAGCTTGACCCAGCTAGTTGGGGAAGTAGTTAAAACGGAAACTTGAGTATTTGAGCAACAGGTTTGACCCCTTCCTTAAAGCCACTCAGGCCCACCCATCCCTGGGTTTCTGCAGAGCCTTGTTTATTTGCCAGGCCGGTGTGATGTCTGCAGCTTATAACACACCGTGAGAAATTCCGAAATACCCTACTTAGTGCCGCTGATTATGCATATCTCTACTTGGTTTTTCCCCTTTGTCACCATGAATGAGTCAAACGATGAGTAAATGGAAATTGTATGTGGTGTATGGCTAGACATCACCGCAGTGGCCAGATAACATTTGGTCTCTGTCAGTCTGAAACTTCAGCAAAGAGCACCTGACTTATCTGAATAGATAATTTTCCATGTAGATGAGGTTTGTCCCTTCACTTGCCTATATATTTTCACCATTTTTTCATGGTAGTCTTATATATCAGGGTTCCATGGCTCTTATTATTAAATGGAGGCTATAGAAAAGAGTTACTGTTCCTTGGGTAACTCAGAAAGGGTTTTCTGTCTCTCCCCACACTGCCCTGCCTGGTTCTGTGATGGCCCTGAATTTTTATCAGTTTTATCAAGTATTTATCACCCATCTCCTCTCTGCTTTGAATCCTCTTCTTTCTAGTTGACTGTCTGCTACAATACAGAAAAGGAAAACAACACAATGGTATAGCTTGTTTCCAAGTATTTGGAAACAGAAGTTTAAATTTCCCTTGAGAGCCTGCATATCTGGCTTCTCAGGCTTAATATCTGTTAATTCTCCATTTGCATCTGGGAACCCCAGAGCTTTGGCCTTCACCAAGGTACAGAGGTATTATATGTGTACCCTTTGTCTCTTCCCACCAAAAGACAAAAAGACCAAAAAGACAGTTGGTTTGTGTTTACCTGTCAGCAAGTTGCTTTTCTGTGATTGCAGAGAAGCTCGGAGATAGCACATTTTTTGTTTGGTCATGATATGAAAATAAAAGTGGGACCTTATTATTTTAAGCTCAATCATTTGGCTCTACTTGATTTTATTTCTGTTGTTTTGTCTTCTGGATTAGTCCATATGTTCTTTACCAGAAGTTTGAACTGCTATTTATTCCTGAATCAGCTCTAGAAATTTTTCAGGGTTTTAAAAATGTTTTGCTCTTATCACTGAGGATAACTAACCCTTTGAATTTTTTTTTCATTTATTTTTTTATCTGTGCTGGTTCTTCATTGCTGCTCAGGCTTTTCTGTAGTTGTGGACAGCAGGGGCTCCTCTCTAGTTGCAGTGTGCAGGCTTCTCGTTGTGGTAGCTTTTCTTGTTGCGCAGAGCACAGGCTCTTGGGCACGCAGGCTTCAACAGTTTTGGCACATGAGCTCGGTAGTTGCAGCTGCCAGGCTCTAGAGCATGGGGTCAATAGCTGTGACACACGGGCTTAGTTGCCCCTAGGCATGTGGGATCTTCCCAGACCAGGGTTCAAACCCTCGTCTCCTGCATCGGCAGGTGGATTCTTTACCACTGAGCCACCAGGGAAGCCCCTGGAATTTTGTTGTAGTGCTAATGTTTCTAGAAACTCCACTTTCCCCCTCTAAGCTTGGGAGGGCTTCCAGGGCAGTAGAATTTTATTTACTGTCATTTCCCTCCTTTTCCTTGAAAAGCATTAGTCACTTGATTGTGTCCAGCTCTTCATGACCCTGTGGATTATAGCCCGCCAGATCCTCTGTCCATGAAATTCTCCACACAAGAACACTGGAGTGGAAGCCATCCCTTCTCCAGGGATTTTCCTGACCCAGGGATTGAACCCAGGTCTCCTGCATTGCAGGCAGATTCTTTACCATCTGAACCACCAGGACCCAAAGGAATGGACTGAGACTTTATTTCCACTTAGTTTCTGCTGTTGCTCTCAACGGAAACATTTAAGGAAAAGAGGAAAAAGAGTTCATATACATTTGTGTCTGATGAATCGGCTAAGCAGGCATTTAATAAGCTTCTTTAGTGCATGTCTCTCAAGACTAAGACCCTCTGTGCAAAAACTACCCCCTCAAGCCGATTTTCCAGTAACAAATGTCATATTGCTACATTCCTGCCATATTTAAATGCTTTTAGATAAACAAGCCACTGCTAAGTTATTTCATCAAGAATGGGTTTGTTTACTTGTGTACATTTCCTAGAGTGGAGCTGATGCCTGTGCAGTCTCTGATTTATGATTCACTGAGAAGAGTGGGTTTTAGCCTCTAATAGGCATTTCTGAGCCACTCTTCTGGATGTTAGATGCTTGTTACAGGTCCAGCCCATTCTTGCTCCATGAAAATGTAGATTTAGTTGGGGACAATACCACTGGGGAGAGTTGAAAGGGTTAAAAGCTCTGCTTTTCCTTAACTGCTGGAGGATAATTTTTCTTCATTTCTTTTGAAATTGGTTTTGGGGTGGGGAACAGTTTTTAATCCTCTGTACCATGAGTTACAAAGTAAGGGCCCGATCTGGCCACCACCTGTTTTTGTAAACATGGAACTTAGCTCCAGTCCATCTCTTAGAGTTGACAGTTCTGTGGTGCGGCAGTGTCTGGTGCTTTGATTCCTTTCCCCTTGCTTTCTGCTTCCTTCAGGAGAATCATATGCCATGGCCCCCAGGTAGTTTCATGTGAGTCTTGCCGTCAGCTTGTTTCCTGGAAGCTGTAAACTAAGTTGGTTTCCCAGTTGTCTAGAGAGGGGACGCAGCCCTCCTGGATGGAGGCAGATGCATTTGAAACCCCTGGAAGTTGTGGTGGTGCGAACATGTCATGGGATCATTCTGATCATAGCTGCTTCTGCTGCAGCCACAAATGCCTTCTAACATTCACAAAAGATTCTTGGAGGCCAGTGGACTAGGACTCTCTAGAATGGGCTCTTCATCTAAAACCAAATATAAAAGCAGTAGTAAACAAGTATAGCCCCGAAGCTCAAACTGCCCTCTACCACAGAAGCACACTCAAATCAACTGAATAAAATACAACAGAAATCACGAAGTTATTGAGTCATATCTCCTATCCTGGTTTCTCTGGGCTTTGCAAAGCAGCAAACTATTAAAGGAAATATTGTCCTGATTGTTTATGTTGTTTGTGGATTTTACTTTTTTACTTTATCCTGGTAAAACTTAACATGCTTTAAACATGCTTCCAACTGAAATAAATTTTACTTGTTTTCATATAGCCATGGTCTGAAAAAGTTCTTTTCTTGTCGTGGAATTGCAATTGCGGTTGAATATTTTTGGAAGCTCGGCAACAGAAACATCACTGTATTTGTTCCACAGTGGAGAACAAGGCGTGATCCTAATGTCACAGGTGAGACAAACTGATTTTTCCAGGTTACTAATAATTAGGTAATCAGTTGGCTCTTAATTGCAACACACACTACTTAGAATCGTGCCATGTGCCATAGGCAGCAGCTTTAAAGCTTTAAAAACAAAATGTAAATTTGTTGCACCCAGTTTAAAAAAAATCAGTTGAAGAGAGTGTTACAGCATAAAACCTGCTTGGGGGATGGATGGAAAGTTTAACAGATGTTTATATAGAAAGTTATGTTAGTCTTCATTATGTATCACAAAAATTTTCTTTCACTTTTTAAAAAGTTCATTAAATATGTCTTTCTACTAGGCTGGGTTTCTTCCTCTTTAAATAGTATTTTTGAAAATGGTCATTTGATAAATTTGGAACCCTCACATAGGATATCTTTTTAACAGTTTGTTTAACAACTTAATATAAGTCATTTATGTTCACTGTGTGGTACTGCATGGCTGACCTGCAGGCCACACATGAAAGATTTGAACTTATTATGGATCCTGAAATATCCAGAGAAACTTAAGGTTTTTCTTTTCTTGGGTCTTAATAGGAAGATTGGTGAAAGGGCTGTGCCAAGCAGCTTAATGCATCAGACTACCTGGAAATAAAAGGTAGACCGGGAGGAGGAAGGGTGAAAACAGGACTCACCCAGCACATTCAGCAGGAAGTAATAAAACTTAAGTCGCTGTAGAGGTAGAAATGGTAGAAGTACTTTTCCCAGGTATCCCAACTTCCCTCCCTCAGGGGAAGTGCATTTGTCCTAGCAGAGGGTACTTGGGAATGAGGCAGATCTACCCATTTCAGTCACTTTTGCAGTAGGATCCCTGAAAGAGTCTTGTAAGCCTTATGTGCTGTGCATTTCTAGAGATATAAAACACTCTGTTTGGACATTGCAGCCTAAGTCAGTGGTGAGTACCATTGTAGGGAATGCAGGAGTGGTAATCTCAAACCCTGAGCCTGTAGCTGCTCTTTTGCCTATTACTCTTGTGGTTTTGGCCCTCTTTTATTCTCTGTCATGACTTACTCCCATGAAAATCACTAAATATTTGTCCCGATAACAGAGAAGAGATTAGATAGGGTAGCAGTCAGAGGGAGATTTGACAGAGTCTTGGAATAGGGACCAAGCAGACCTTTCTCGGGATAGGACAGAACAGCCTGTCTGCCTGTCTGGCATCCCTCTTCTGTTCCAGCCCCTGCGCTCTCACAGGGACATGGCCCTCACTCTCTTTGTCCTCTGTTGCTTGTAATGTAGCTGAGAAAAAGTTTTTAATAGTAAGATCCTTTATGTATAGGTTTATGGTTTATTCTTCTTAAGAAAATAAGTTGAACATTTTTAAGTTTAAAAAATAGCTGAAGTCAATTTTTACATTACATTTGTTTTGGAATATGTCTTCCTTGATTTTTTTCCCCTTCCCCATAAGTTTATAAAATGCAATCTTTGTGAGTCAATAGAAACATTTTGGGGTGCTTTCATTTATTCAAACCTCTGGGAAGATAGCCTTTTTCTGAATGTGTATTCAACTTATTCCATAAACAGAACAGCACTTCTTAACCCAGCTCCAGGAGCTTGGAATATTATCTTTAACTCCTGCACGGATGGTCTTTGGAGAAAGAATTGCTTCTCATGATGACAGGTATGAAAGACTGTTTTCCTTTCTAAAGTGGGTGTGGGGTGGTGAGGAGCCAGCCACCTGCTCCACAAGACAGTTCATCAGGCACCTAAATCCACATCTTAAAAGGACATGCTTGACCCAAGTTAGAGAATTTTAACATTCATAGTCTTTAAGGTTATACTAATACATTCAGGGACATTACCAAAGAAGCTATTGAGTTAAAAAACTTTTCTGATAAAACATGGCTGAGGATCTATAAGTAAAAGCCCATGTTGAGTTGTAGTCTTTTTAAATACTTCCTAGAAGTAACATTTGTCTTAGTGTGGCAGCCTCAGGAGTGCTTTTCACACTTTCTCTGTCTCCTCCTGGTTATATCTGGCTGGAGACTTAGTCTGCCATTGTGATACCTGAGCCCTCAGTATTTCTTCCATATAATAGAAGATGGTCTCGGCTGACCCTCGTGTTAAAGGAATAAACTGCATTTCTTAGGTTGGTACATTGCTCAGAGCAGGTGCTGAGATGAGTGTCTAGGAACTGAAGTGGTGGCCTCCTGTTCTTTCCTCTCCTGCCCTCACCCTCTTTCCCTCTGACCTCTAGCACTTAAAGCACCCTGGTGGTTTGCCTTATTGTTCTACCACAGTGCTCCCTCACGTTGAAGACAGTGCTTAGCTTGTAACCCAAGGTAGTGAATGATGGTCAGATGGGTGAGAGATGAAAAGGGGAGCTTGGCAGGGGAAGAGAACTTGGAGTGATAGCAGACATTCAGCAAAAGGTCCAAAGGGCCTTCTCACTGACAACCCCTTGCCCTTCACCAGGCTGGTATGAGAGACCAGATCTGGGGAGAATCCAAGATGGCATGAAAGAAGAGTGCGGGAGGAAGCACCTGGGGGTAGGGACGTGAGAAAGTATTTGGAGATTGGGATGGAGGGACTACCCTTGCTCCAGAGATACTGGGTAGGGACGCTGGAGAGCTCACATGAAAAGGCAGGTTGGACTGCCAGGCTCATGAAGAGCCTTCAGATGCTTTTAACGCAGCAGCTTCCTTCTCACGCCTACAGAATTTGAATGCATACACAAGTGTGTAAACTAGGTTTTCACTTAATTTATATGGTTCTCTGGGTTTTTAGGGGATGTGAACATGTGTCCTGGTTCACAGTACACACCCAGAAGCTTTACTGCTTTTTTTTGTTAATACTTGTGGACAAACATTACTACTTACTGTTCATGCCAGTTAGAAATAATTTAAGATACTCATGCTAAATCATATTTACTTATCAGGGTTTCCTAAGATTTCTGAAACTAATGAGGCTTGTTTTTTGATTTCCTTTTAAGTACCCCCTACTAATAATAAAAGCAGTTGTTTTGCACCTTTAACTCCAGTGTTTCGCTTATTTTATTGTTTCATTATCTTTGTCTGTATTGCCTCAGACAAATGTGGTCATCCTGACTAGGGGATGAAACTCATATTATCCTCACAAATCTCTCATTAAGAGGGTTTGAACATGAATAATCTCGAACAACGAAATAGAATTCTCTGTAATGTTTACTTCTTACACTTTTTGATCACCATATATCTTCTCATAATTTGCATTTGAGTGGATCTATAACTTAGACTAAACCTAATGGCAGTTCTGGACATCTCTTCTTAAGTCACAGCAGAAAATGTGAATTTAGGCTTACAAAAAAAATTGCAAGGCTGACTGTGGCAAGGCTAATCTTAGAACCAAAGTACCGTAGCTTAGCAACTGAAAACTGAATAGTGATTTCACAGGCATCAATTCTGATTCGTTCCTCTTTGGTCCTCATGCGTTATCATGTTACCACTCTTTATTGATAGTACAACTTGTCTAGAAAAATGTATAAATTATGGTTAAGATTATTTTTAAAAAGTTAGATTTTTATGAAAACCAGACCTTCATTTATAATCATTCTAGTAATTTCAGATGTTCAGTATTTCAAGTTGATGTTCAGTTGACAGGGGCTTAACTTTTCTGCATCCCAGCCTTGGTTAAATACTTTGATCTTCCTGTGAAGAGGAAATCCTTTTTATAGTAAAGCTACTCTGAGCCAGAGATGCCTGCTTGCCTGTTTTAACCACTCTTATATTACCATAGGTTTCTACTACACTTAGCAGACAAAACTGGTGGCATAATTGTAACAAATGATAACTTCAGAGAATTTGTGACTGAGTCAGTCTCCTGGAGAGAAATAATTACAAAAAGGTAACGCTTTTTTCTTTGTCTTTGGTCAGAGATGTTTTTTGTTGTTTACTCTTTGTTTTTTGTCCACCTTGGAAGCAGTTTAGGAGACCGAAGACATCATAAGACTGTGCTTCCAGCCCACAGGGTAGCTGGCCCCTCTCAGTAAACGGGAGGACTGGCACAGAGCAGCACCACCAGCAGGTGACGTGTGAGCATGCTCTGGTGCCCCCAGGTGTCTCTGTAGGCCAGTTTCCCCTGGCAAGAGGCATATCTTTGTGGCCCAGTTAACTATCTTATCAACTGTGTGATGAAGCAGAAATGACCACCTAGCTTGACCTTGACCTGATGCCGAGGGACACTTGAGCAAGTCGTTGGGCCTCCCCCAGACGTTACTCAACAGTGAAATATGAAGGCTAGGTTTGATAACAACTGTGATTTCAGCAAGAGGATAGTACCAAAATCAGTGTGCTGACTGGGTTTTCACTTTTGGGAAAGGAAAGACTATTTCTACTTTTTAACATCTGATACTTCTCTTGAGCATTTTACCATCAAAGTTTAGCCATCTGTATTGAAAGCACATTGAATATCCAAAATAACAAAGTAAGTTTTCTGTTTGTGATGACACCCTGAGTGTGTTCAGCTGCATTAAGATCAGTGAACACAGGCTTCCAGGACTTTCTATAAACAAGCATCATCTGACAAGTACTTACCAAAAACCAGTAGTCTTATGGTAGTGCCAGAGATGAGTCATAAATACCGGAAATCTAAAAAACATACCTTGAGTTTGTGTATATCTGGTATAACTGGTGTGTAACTAGTGTAACTACATACTTACCTGTCTGGGGGGTTTCATGGTTGCCTCTTGTCTGATAGTTATATGTTTTTTGAATCATTAGAGGGTTTTAGAAAATGATACCAGGTGAAAGTTAGTTACTATATGCATTTGACCCATATGCTGTTAAGAAAGTGTTGATAGCTGAAGTGAGAATTGGTCTTTGACCTTTGGGGCACAGTTAACAAGCCGTTAATCTTCTGTCACATGTTTCTGTTGGATTTGTGCCCTGAGCTCATTGTCAGTATTTATCGGACACTCATCTGTGTGTGCATAGAAGGTTTAAGTGCAGTGAAGGCTCACTCACACACCAACCCATTGCCTTCAGAAGTCATAAAGCAAGGCAGAAACCAAGATCCAGGCAGCAAACCAGGCATTTGGACTTTTAATTAGATTTGATAAATCATGTTCAACTGACCTTCAGTATTTATTCATATACTAATTCTCTTTTTTAAAAGAACATCAGTAGGTTTGCTTATGAGCTCATTTATTCAAAAATTAAACCTTGGTTGAGTACCCATTGTATCCTAAGCTGACAGTCTTTCCATCTTGTTTTTCAAAGTTATATTGAACATTTTATTAGGAAAAGAAGCTGCTTTCCAAGCCCAGATAAAAATCTGAAAGTCTTGATAAGAAGTAGGAGAGCCAGTAGGTAAAAGTTTCTTACTCTGTTGTATGTGTATCCACAAGAGAAATTGGTTTCACTGGGGTGTGTTTGGTTTGCTTTGCTTTAGCAGTTAAGTGAAAGTCGCTCAGTCATGTCCAGCTCTTTGTAACCCCATGGACTCTACAGTTTATGGAATTCTCCAGGCCAGAATACTGGAGTGGGTAGCCTTTCCCTTCTCCAGGGGATCTTCCCAACCGAGGGATCAAACCCAGGTGTCCCACGTTGCAGGCAGATGCTTCACCAGCTGAGCCACAAGGGAAGCCCAAGAATACTGATAGAAGGGAATACTGATAGAATACCCCAAGAAGGGATAGGTAGCCTGTGCCTTCTCCAGTGGATCTTCCCGACCCAGTAATTGAACCGGGGTCTCTTGCATTGCAGGTGGATTCGATTAAGCAGTGTTTTAATTTACTTTTTTCTCCCACACTGTAATTATTCTCCCTGTTGTAGATTGCTCCAGTATACCTTTGTGGGGGACATATTTATGGTTCCTGATGACCCTCTGGGAAGAAGTGGACCTCGATTAGAAGAATTTCTTCGGAAGGAAGTCTACCTTAGGTATTTATTTCCTTTTCCAGATTGTCTTGTGTTTACAAATTTGTTGCAGTTCTTTGTGCTTCAAGTGCAAGTACATTCTCTCCCTGACTATTATAAATGGTATTTTATTTTAAAAAATAGCCTTAGATTTAGTGCTGGTGAAATATAGATGGAATGTCTCCCAGAGACCAAATCTTCATTTGTGGTCCATTTGGTTTTAATCCCAGAAGAGAGGATGGGGAGCCAGACTTTCTGTAGGCCAAAGAAGACAGAGTAGATTTTGCTAGTGGTCACTTAGTAGTGAATGCTAGTTAGGTTCTTTGCGTGTGTGTGTGAGTATCTTTTTAAGTTCATTTTGCCAAGTCATTTACTTTGAGTATTTTATGCTTATATGAATTTATTTACTATTCAGGAAATCACTACCTGGGAAACTGTACTATCTACCTTACTGAGTAGAGAAGCAAGTATTCTATATTTGTTTGAAATTAATTTGATAGCTTAGATTTTCTTTGTTGTAGATTGGGGTTTTTGTTTGTTTGTGTTTAAAGACATGTTTCCATTTTCAGAATTCTCAAGTATGGATGTTGTTAGTCCTGTGCACCTAAGTGGCAGATTGTATTCCCCAGTGATAGGCCTTTTCTCTTTTTAAAAAGTGAAATAAGCTACATTTCTTTGTATTTCTCAGCTGAAAGGGGTGTAAGCTGAAAGGAATGAGAAACAGCCCCCCCCCCCCCCCCCCCCCCCCCCGCCGTTTCAAGACAGTGAGACTTTAGAGCTGATGCTCTCTGTTTATGTCAGGGCCTTTGGGGGATTCTGGGTTTGGATTGGAAAGGGCAGGTGGCTCACATAGAACTGTCTTCAGCACACAAGACCAGCATGATTTCCACTCCCAGGTCTTGTGACTCATTTCTCTTTTGAGCCTTTGTGTTTTATTACACAGATGAGGACTCAGTTCTCAAAGGTCCTGCTTTTCTACCTACCTGTGCCAAGAGAATGGTAGCCATTTTAAATACCTGCTGAATGGCCATACATCTTATTTTTCTTCCAAAGTCTTAACTTGGAAATTCTCTGCTAGGCTTTAAGACCTGAGGCCTGTGTGCAAGCATCAAGGTCCATGGGTCAAACTTAACGGAAGGAGAGTTCTGTCTCCTCCAGCCTCAGCAGCCTGGCAGCAGGGTCAGCCCTGCCTGCTCACGTAAGAGCCATTGACTACAAAGTTAGTCATTGCACCCCCCCCCACGGAGGGACTAAGCTTTTGAAGTTGGGAAAAGTGTTCAGTCAGCCCCATTTTTCTACTGCAAGGAAAATCAAGTGGGGGGCTTTTTAATGGTAGAGATGCCCTAAACACACTCATGTGCATTCAAGTTGTGGGCACCAACATCTCACTCAGACTTGAAGGGCTGGAGGGGCAGCCTCTCTGCCCAAAGGTCCCCATCAGCCTGGCCCCACAGAGAATCTGAATCTGCAAGAAAGTATGGTCCTGTGTCCAGATCTTTTGAAAGCTTCCTGGTGCACCCTGGTTCAGAGCCAAGCAGCTGGATGGGGTCAGTCCTCACAGCAGCAGGCCAGGAGGTGGAGTGGCTCATGAAGAGCCAGCATTTCCTGTCACGACTGGGCTGGAGTTGGTGTCAGTGGCATCCCCACGGGCCTTTCTGTGGGTGGTTGCCCTCCCTGCTATGGCTGCAGTCTTCTCTTGCCTTCAAAGGCCAGGAAGCAGCTCCCAGCATCTTAAGCTTTGGAGTCAGCAGCAGATATTTTTAGACAGATTTCTTGTTTGTCTTGTAACCTAGCTCACCAGGACTTGCTTCCATTCACAGAGATATGCAGCCCCTACTCAACGCCTTGCCAAATGTGGGCATGTTTGACCCCAACTTCAGAGTCCCTGGTGCCCAGGCAGCCAGCACCAGCCACCAGCCTCCGACCCGGATTCAGGGCACCCCACCCAGCCACTGGCTTCCTCAGCAACCCCGCTTCCCACTTTTGCCCAACCTTCCCAACATCCAGCAGAATCTGCCCATGCCAGCACAGAGATCTCCTGCAGAAACCAACGAGCTGAGGGAAGCCCTTCTGAAGATCTTCCCTGACTCGGAACAAAAACTGAAAATCGACCAGATCTTAGCGGCTCATCCATACATGAAAGACCTGAACGCGCTCTCCGCCATGGTATTGGACTGAAGGCTGTTGGGAGCTGGGTCTCTGGGCTGAAGACACACACACTCAAGCTAGTATCTGCATGTGGCAGCAGGAAGTGACATAATGTGAAGAAACCAATTTCCCAGTGGAAATGCTGTTGTAGTGTATAGGAGAAAAAAAACACAGATGTTTTGTGTATAAAAAAAATCTGGGTTTTCAAAACCAGCTTTTTTATATATATACATTATGCTGCTATTACAGATTTAACATTTTCTGTAAAAGGAAAGTCTACATTTTCTGCCTGTTCAGAACTGTTTAATAGCAGTTACTCTTGAGTGCACTTACATTTTTATGTTTTTTAAACTATTTTCCTTAATGCTGAAAATATTGACAAATGGATATGATTAGCCTTTCTAAATAAAAAAAAAAAAAGAGTTGCTTTCTTAGGGAAAGCAAGACCTCTTAAAGTATATTTTCTTGAGATGACTATGTCACATCCACTGACATGAAGTGTGCTCACCCTCCCAGCCTCCTATCCCCTCACCCCTGGAATTAGAGTCCGTAGGAGTTAATTTTGCTCCTCTGGGGTCTTTCATTGGAGCCATTTGTGAGAGTGGGCAAGTGGTGCCACTAGATGGCACCTTGTGCCTAGCCATTGTTAATGACCAGGGCAGAGTGAGACGCACAGAACACCCGGCTGGAAGAACCCTGAGAGCCCACGCAGTCCAGCCCTTCCTCCCTTCCCACCCTGCACAAGAGGGACCTGAGGCCCCGGGTGCCCCCTGTCTGGGCGCACCCAAGTCCACAGCTGTGAACTGGACCCCTCGTGCATGGCTGGGACACTCACCACTCAGTCTCTGACTGACTCTAGACGTCATGTCTTAGCTTCTGAAGCTACTAGAGGGATGTGAGGAAGTTTAGTGAAGAGCGGCATCATTATAGTAGTTTGGTGTCCACAACCTTGGAAGACAGATGTCCCATGTGAAGTTTGTGCAGCTTTGCCAAAAAACTGGTTTTCTATTCTCAAGAATGACCCAAGCCAATAAATAGCATTAGTAGCTTCTGTGGGGGCCCAGAGCCCCATATTTATTTTTCCTGTGTTAGTCTCCTTAGTGTTCTCCTAAGCTGCCCTTCCTATGGGTCTTTCTCAGAATTGATATCTTAGTATTGTGTTTTCAGTGTTGCCTAAATTCTGTGTCAGTGAAAATTCTTTTTCTGGATAGTTAATTGTTAACATCTATCTTGTTCTCTGGACCTTCAAAGGGCTTTGTATTTTATACTTGTTCTTCCCCCAGGCTGCTCACGATCAGTTTCACATCTGCCTTGTAGATCACACCTCTTGTGGCCCCCAGAAGCAATTCCAGAGGCCTCAGTGCAGATTTGTTCTTCATGATGAAGAGACTTAGTTGGCCATGAGCAGGCCTGGGTGGCTCCCCACAGTGCTCCCTCCAGGCCTGTATGATCCCGCACCCCTCCGGGGGTGAGTCCAGAGTCTTCGGGTGGCCAAATTCGGACTTCAGTCTTGTTTTCTCTTGGATGCCTTTAAGATGCAGCCTGGTGTGGAGCTGGTTGTCAGCTGGGGATGGGATACCCACGTCCAGCTGTGCATGTGGAGGCCAGAGGCAGCTTCGGCCACAGCCTCTGTGCCTCAGCTTCACAGCTGGTGGTTTTTAAAAACAGCAGCAGAGGTGTGAGGGCTGGGTCCCTCTCACATGACTTTACCTTCCAAGCCAAGTGGCCTTGCCAATCCAGCACTGCTCCTGTTCAGAGAAGGACTCGGGGGGTATGCCTTGATTGCCAGGACTTAGCCACTGGTCTTCGTGGAAGAGGGACTGAGGCTCCACTGATGCTAGGTAGAGCTGGCTCAGCCTAGAGGTCAGGAGTTTTCTAGGCTCTAGAAGTGACCTGACCTTTGAATTACATAAGCCTCTGTGATCTCAGTATTGTCTCTGAGAGCTCTACCAGCCCCTTTCCTCTTTCTTGGGTGAAGGAAGGAAGAGTGCAGAAGATAAGTAGGAGGAGTTTCAGAAAAGCATCACTTACCTTGGTAAATTATAACATGAAACAGAATTCACAACTGAAATCTATCGTGTAGTTAAATCTAATATTTTAAAGCTCAGTTCTCAAACCGTTACTTTAAGAAGTCATTACTTGTTCTCAGACTCCCCTTAATACTCGGCTCAGTGTTGATACTCCCGGTGTGCCTTCCCGGTAGGTTTTCTGAACCACCTTGGGGAGTGTCTGCAGCAGCGTTTCCTGAAACTCCTGCAGGTGGTTCTGCATCCTGTGTTCCACGGCATTCCTGTGAAGCAGGTGGCAGGGCAGAGGATGCCACCCTCTTTCAGTAGACTCGGAGAAGTTGTCCAGGGTTAAAGAATAACTAGGCAGTGATGCCGAATGATCCCTGGGCCTGCATTCTTCCCCACGCTCCAGACAGCCACCTGGGAGAAGAAAGACTGGTTTAGTCTTTCTGTCAGGTAGCCAGTGTTTGAGACCCTATAGGCTGGCGGCTAGAAAAATAGTAAGGAGTCCTCTCAGCCATCCTGGATGAAGGGTCAGCATTATTCTGGCAGGGCGTGACTGTCACCAGGGACTCAGTTGACCTGTTGTAGCTTTGGTATCAGTGAGAGGAAGGATAATCTTGCTTTATTGCTTAGGCTTATTGTGGCATTTGTGGAATATGATCCGCACATAGAAACCTTGATGCTCTGAACCCGCTGCCCCATGGAGTCTCATGCCCTTCCCCCCACCATGGCAAATGGCACCGGGCCCCCTGGAGTTAGGCCTTGGCACCACTCCCACCTCAGGCCCAGCCTGCCTCCCACACATCTCTGAGATGCAGCCTTCCTTAAGGAACCTCTCCCCACCTCTGCCTCCCCAGTAGCCCTTCTACGTCCCCACCTGTCCTCCCTTCCATCTCGCCTCCCTCAGCCCACCTTCTCTCATCTCCCAACGGTAGTTTGTTTGGTTAGTTACTCTGACTCACTCCATTTCTTCGTTATCTACCTCTCTCATTATTCCCCACATTTCAGATCCTGAGATTAAAACAACCTGATTTCCCTAAGGATCTCTGTTCATTCCTACTTTCCTTCCCCTTCCCACTTTTCACTTCTGTGTCTGCAAACTTGGCCTCCACCCATCACGTGGAATTAATCGAGGGAAGCCATTGGAGACCACTCAGTTTCCAAATTCGGAAACCTTTTCCCAATCCTGTATCTCCATGTCCACATTCAGTAACTATAGCATGACATCGTTGACCCTTACTTTCCCTATTTTCTGAGATTTCCCTCACTCCTAAACAGTCTTCATTCCTTTTCCTTCTTTTACCTAAAGGCCAGCTCAACAGGTGGTTTCCAAACTTCGGACTAGCTGTGGGACGCATGATGGGGAGGGCAGTTCTTAATAAAAATGCAGATGACTGGGCACTGCCCCCAGAGGTGTATTTAGCAGCTCTGGCGTAAAGTCTGGAAATCTGCCATTCCAGCAGACTCCCTGGATGGTCCCCACACAGGTGGTCCATGGACCGCACTCTGAGAAGCACTCACCCTTAGAGATCAGCACACTTCCTTGACTCGAACCGCCCCCTCTTTGCTGGAGTGGCTCCCAGCTCCAGCCCTGCCCCTTATGAGTGCATATTTAGCTCTACCTAGAAGCCTGAGACCTCCCCAGACCCTCTGTCTGCATCTCTTGTCTTTTCCCACCCACCCTGCCACAAGGTCCCCTCACCCACCACTGTCCCTTTTTGGCCATTGCCCCCCGGCCCCGCATCTTGTGCTCATGGCCTCCCTGTGGCTGTCAGCCTCTGACCTGTCAGCCCACCTCTCAGCTTTCCCCCCTCACTACCCTTCTGAGCCTGCACAGCTGCTAGATTTATCTTCTGAAGATACGCTTCTGCACACCCCTCTTGTTCAGTGCCCAGTGGCTCTCGACCAGAGTATCCAGTTTAGACCTTCCTGAGCTTAGTATCCTTGGCTGTCTACCTCCCAGTCGTACGTGACGGCCCACTCTGTGCAGCCCATCTGCCCACTCACTGCAGCCGCACAATTTCCTCAGTTAGCTGTGGGCTCCCACTCCGGCTGACTCTCTGCTCTGCTAGAAATGCCCTTTCTCCCAGATGGCTTCCCCCTCAGAGGCCTGGCCCTGTGTCCTCTCCACCTTGCCTAAAGCTTCCGACCAGAAGCAGCCTCATGGTCCTCTCTGACCCCCACAGCACTTGTGTCTTGCTTTCGGCACTTGCCACTCTGGCTGGTGTCACTGCAGCTGATTGTGTACTCTGTCTTACCTCTTTTTCTAGACTGTGAGCTCCTCGTGGGCAGGGCTTTCTGTGTTCACTCTCTGTATTTCCCACAGCACCTAGCACAGTGCCTTGCACTTAATAGGTGCTCAATAAAGTCTGCTCAATTGAACTGGAGGATGGTGCCTTCTTGACAGCGGCATCTAGCAGCCAGACAGGCCTTCAAGTATCAGGTGCTCGGCAGTTGCTCCCTGGAACCCACTACTGTCCATTTTTCCTTCTTGTCAAGTCTCTAACCCCACCAGGTCCAGGAATGGGCACCTGCCGCCGGCTGAGCCAAGCAGTGTGTTCTGACTTGCTGCCCACAAGGGGGCCGATCTAGGCCAGTCAGAGTACACCTTCTGGTTGCCCGCTCTGGTGGTGGGGGCTACGACGGGTCATGCTCAGATCTGACGACGAAGACTGTGTTCTGCCTTGGGTGGGAGGGGGCGTGGAGAGAAGTGGAAGCTTGACCGTGTGATTCCTGTTGGCATGGAAACCCGATGGCACTCACGCTCTTCCCCAGATGCCTGTTACCCCGATACACTTCACTTTTTCTTTATGTTGGGTTTACATCCCTTGAAATCAAAGACACTTAAGTGAAATACATATCACTGCCCTTATACTTGGCAGATTAAACAAGGGAGGCTCATCACATCTTTAGGGAGATCCCAAAGACCAGTGCTCCCCAGTTGGCTCAGAGGTAAAGAATCCGCCTGCCAAGCAGGAGACCCGGGTTTGATCCCAGGTTGGGAAGATACCCTGGAGTAGGAAATGACCAGCCACTCCAGTATTCTTGCCTGGAAAATTCCATGGGGGTCACAAAGGGTCAGACACAACTGAGCGACTGACCACACACACACAGACCAGTGCATCTGTGCTGCAGGAGTGTCCCCCTAGTCAGTTTTTAAGGAGCCTCAGGAGACTGCACCCCCACCTTCACACAGGTTGGTTCCTCCCCAGCACAGCCGGCCTGTTGAGGTTGTGTCTTACAAATGCCTTCATGTGGATTTCCTTGCTCTGTTCCCTAGCTGAACAGAGGCCAGGCCAGCTTCTTGGGAGTTAGACCTGCCATATTCTGCCACATCCTCACTGGTAAGACAGCCGTAATGGGGTCAGCCTTGCTAATCCAGGGCTGTCATGAGGAAGAAACGGGCCTAGAGCACTGCCTGGCAGAACGCACTCGGTGATGGTCATGACCAGCTCTGCCCCGCAGCCCAGCGGACACTTAATGAAACTGTTCACACCCTGTAGGTTATCCCGGAGGCGGAGACCTTGTCTTCCGGATGCTGAATGTTCTCTCTTCCTACCAACTCACCCTGAGTGTGGTCCAGACCCTCCTCAAGGCCGCAGAGAGGTCCTGCTGTCCCCCAGGCAGGATGTCACTCTTCTGACACGCTCCGTGCCCTTGAAAGCCAGTCGGGGTCATGGCAGGGAGGGAACCAGGGGGACGCCAGCAGAGCCACTGCTTGGCCACAGAGTGAGGGAACGCTGCTCCCCTGGCCGACACGGCCCCTCCAGGCTGGGTCTTGACTCATCCGCTCCTCCCGCCGCTCCTTTGAAGTCTCCATCTTGGAGGCTCGTGTGTGTGTGTGTGTGTGTGTCCAGGATGCAGGACTTGAATTCCTGCAGGCCATTTCACCTCCCCAAGAGGCAGACTCCGCCAAGATGACCTGGCAGCCAGAATGGCACCCGAGATGGACCGACTCCCTCCATCCAGTGAGCAGAATGGAGGGCTTGTGACCTGGGTCGAGGTGGTCAGCCCGCTGGCCAGAGGGAGGCTGTGGAAGGAAGCCGCCTCCCACGTTTCTGAGGAGTGGGGCCCGTGTCCAGCCCAGTTCCTGTGGGAGGTGCTGGGAGCACATTGTTGTTTTTTGTTTGTTTTTTTTTTTAAGTTGACCAGCTCTGTAGAAGTGCCGTCTGGAGGACGCCTCTGTGTGCGTCATACCCTTCTTTCCTTTACGGGGACTCAGAGCAGTAGAATGACCTTTGAGGGTTTTTGAAACTGAAAGCAGCGTCTTTTACAGCTCAGGTTCCAGTCTCGTGTCATATGTGGTTCCAGGGCTGGTGACAGTCATCGGGGAAGCAGAGCCTGGGCAGGCAGGGGTTTGCCCAGGAACTGGTCATCAGTGTGCAGAGTGAGCCCTGGAGCTGCAGCGCCCGAGCCCCGGGGCTTCTGGAATCCGCCCCCTGCCACCTCCTCCCACAAGACTCCGCGCCGCAGACGGTGGCCTTTGGGGCTTTCCTTCCCACTCCCTCCACAGGTCCCCAGGGAGCCCAACTTGGCCTCGCAGCCTGAAACCCAGTCTGGGGTCAGGCCTGGGCAGGCCCTGCCCTCTCCCCTTGCGGCTCCCAGAGAGAGGAGGAGGGGGCCTCCCCTGAAAAGAATGCGCTTGTCTGCCCGCCTGTCTGGCTCCGGGATCAGTCTAGGGTTTCAGCCACCAAAACAGGCTGCAGGAACAAGAGGCCCTCCTGCAGCTGGCCCAGAGAAGCTGCGGACACTGGCTCACACGACCTCCTAGACCAGAGGGTCCCTCGACGGCGACAGCAGTTCCCACCCCCAGCCCCTTGCAGCCCATTCCCACTGAGGTGGTCAGGACCCTGGTGCTTACTCCCATTTTAAGGCTAAGGAACCTGAGGCCCAATAGTAAGTAGTGGAGGTAGGGCTGGAGCCCCAGCACCCAATCCTCTGTGCTCTGCTTGCCAGCCCCTCTCCCCTGTCCCCCAGCTGTCCTGAGCAGCCACTGCATGCCTGGGACAGTGCTGGGGGAGGGGAGAAGGCCAGAAGGGCCCTTTCCAAAGCACCCCGTGCTCCCCCAGCCCTGGCAGTGAAGGTGTGGGCCCTGCTCTGGCCCTTCTTGCTGTGTGATCTAGAGGAAGTTGCTCACTCTCTCAGATGAGGCCAGCCCCCTCATCTCTGAGTGAAAGTGAAGGTGCCACCCTCAGAAAGGGTGGTTTTCAATCCTGATGTGCATCAGAGCCACCTGGAGGAAGGGCTCTAAATAGGCTGGCGCCCAGGCCTCACCCCGGACTGGGGAGATGGGTGAACGGAAGCCCAGGGATCCTGGTGAGCCCCCGACTGAGAACCGACATCCCCTGGAGAGTTGGTCCCGCTGGGATGAAATCCCAAGACAAGGGCCTGGCCCCTGACAGTCCTTCCCTTTCCTGACACCCACCTTCCGTCCCGCATGTGGCTCCACTAAGGGCTTGTCCCCCGTGTCTCATCCAACTTGCGGCATTGTACAAACCCTCGGCCCCGCAGAGACTCAGAGCAGGGGAGCAGGGGTGGGAGGATGGGGCCCTCCCTCCTGTGACCAGTGGCCGGAGCTGGCTTGGTCATTCCACCACCAGCCAGCCGTGTGTCCTCGCTTCCCAGCTCTACTTACACCGGGGTACAGTTCTGAACAAGGACAGAGGGAGTGGAGCTCCTGCTGACCTCCTAGCACGTCGGCCTCTTTCCCACCAAGCAAGGGCCTTCCTGCCACCCGTTACCCACCCTGTAGACCCCCTGTCACTGCTCCATGCGGGCTCACAGGGCCCGGGAGCCCAGCGGGTCAGTGCATACCTTGAAGACAGGAAGAGTCTGCCACATGAAGACCTCCTATTTCAACAGGCAGAGGCCAGCAGGCTTGGGCTCCGGCAGCCCCCAGCCCTTAGGTGAAGCACGCCCTCGTCTAGATCTCATCTGCTGCCTGCCTGGGAGAGGCGGTGTCTTCCCTCAGAGTGTTTCTAATCGTCTGACACCTGCAGCTTTCTTGGCCCAGAGCCTGAACATGAGCCTTGGGGATCAGCCTGAGCGTCTCTCTCAGAGGGAGGTTGTGCTGCGTGGGGACAGTGGAAGGTGACTGGCTGATGGCACAAGCCCACTGGTGGGAAGAGGCCCTCGTCCACCACAGCGCTGGTGGCATCAGGGCTTCCTGCCTCAGAGGTCCCAGCACACAGCTCGAAGCCATCTGCCACTTCCACCTGAGAATTACTGTCAGAATTACTGTCCCAGCTTCACCCACCTTTGGGGCCTCGATGTCCGCCATCACTGTCAAGGCGACTCCCAGGAAAGTCTGAGGCCTGGGGTTGAGAGCCCTCCCAACAGGACGTGACTTGACGACCTGAGCCTCGACCCTCTCCCTTCCCCACGGCCCCATCCAGACTGAACCCAGGCCCCACTTGTCTGTTCTTTCCAGGTGTCCTTCACAGTCCCACCCACAGCTATTCACCCTCTTCCTACTTGGGAGGGTCTCTACAGCTGCCTGGGGGGCAGGCAAGAATGATTCCCCTGCCCTACAGACGTGAAAACGGAGGCAGGGCTGTTCTGAGGCGAGACCTGCAGGGTCAAGACTTGAACCTTGTGTCCGTACTCCTGTGAATGACTGTCCAGTGAATGACTCCGGAAGCCACAGTGGGGCGTCCATGCATCCACGAACTGATGCCAGTCTCTAGTCCCTTCTGAGTACGACTCTTCTGCTGGGATGGGCAATGGTAGGGGGCTGACCGCCTACCTGGGCGAGGAGGCCAGAGACAGAAGTGTGAGTGCAGTGGGTGGGGGTCAGCCTGGTGGAGGGGGTGGGGCTGTGGATGGAGCGTGCTTGGGGCAGAGGAACAGCAGCTGGAGAGGAAGGCCATAGGGGAGAATGGAGACGTCAGGGAAGCGAGCTTGCTTCCTCCTAAGGGATGTGTTCTGCCTTAT